TCTTATGTTTTATTTACTTGCAAAACCAAGAAAGGCAATAATTACAATTGTTTATGAAAGTTAGGCACTAAGAAAGGTAATAATTATAATTATTTATGACAGCTAGGCACTACATCAGTGTAACAGTGAAAAAACGCCTAACTGATCATGAAAGCTTTAAAAAATAACTTCCTAGATATGCACAAAAACCAAAATGCACCTTTACCATTCTCGATGCATACAAAAGTATGAAAGAAGAGAACTGCTGAAGTGGCGTTTATGTGGCGGCATTTATTGAATAAACGCCCACGAAATCAAACACCCTATAATTTAGAGAAAATGTGGAAAAAGCGAAAAATGAATTATATTTTTCCTACAAGACTAGGGTGGTAACTAGGTATGCATTAATGTTGGTAAGAAGGGCATTGATTGAAACTAAGAAAAAAAGAGTATTAATACTTTTAGACGCTTGAGACTGAATTTTTAATACATAAGTGCATTGAAACACAAGACGAAATAACACCAAGGTAATTATGGTTGAAAGTCCAATAGAGTAAAACTCAACTTCTCAATAATTCTCAATATTTTGCTCGTCACTAAAAGAGCATCAAAATCAATCCCTGGCTATTCCAGCTGTTTTCGAACCATTGTTTACGTTTACAGTTGGACCATTTGGCCCAAAACCATTCAGGCAACTGGTTCTATTTCATCTTCAACCCATTCTTTAGCCAAAAACCATCTTCAACCCATTCTTTAGTCAAACCATAAACCCATTCAACTTGACAATAGTTTTTGGTCATTTTTTTTATTTTTTCTATTATTTTTAACTGAAATAGACCTTCCATTCAAACTGAATGGTTGAACTACTTACCCAAAAACCGGTTGTCAAAGCAGTTCTAGTTCCAGGTTGTTTTTGAAAACATTGGTTCCAAGGTTCAAAGTATTGACCCGTATCGACCGATACGTATCGATTTGGGACCCCTCCAATACGCCCCTACAGTGGGTGTATCAGGGGTCTGACCGGTTCAGGGGGTGGAGGAGCCCTAAACAAGCCCCCTGAACTGGTTGCAAAAAAAATAAAAAAAAAGTAAAAAAATGCAGTATCGATTTGCCCGATATGCCCCTACCAGCGTATCAGGCGTATCGATATTTTGAACCTTGATTGGTCTCAAATGTTCATGAACAAGTGTTGAGTGACAATGATTTCGTTCTTTTAGTCCCAACATTATTCTTTTGCTGCCCCTTTCTCTTAGGACCTACTTGCTTTTCGGTAAGTAACTTACCCGGGTAAATGTAATTACTTGGGTAAGTTTTTCCTTAGTAACACTCTTGGTTAAGTGTATTTTCCCATGTTCTTTTATTTCTCATGTAAATAAGGCAACCATTTTAGCCATAGAAATCCATTATTAAAAGGGGCATCTTTGTCCCATTCAAGTATTGGCAGCTTCCCCTTATGTGGGAAAGTTTTTTATCCACCTAAGAGATGGGTACCACTTTCCTGGGTAAGTGATACCCAAGAAAATAAACTTTTCCTAGTCTCCACATAAAGCTGAAAAAAGAACATAAGGTTCTTGGTCAATGGGAACCAAAATCCCATCAACCAAGTTTCCCCTCTCAAAATCCAAAAATAATAATAATAATAATAATAATAATACAAAATGTAATGTATAGGACCTACCGGAGAAGTTGAGAATCATCCATATTGAAGAAGACTGATGATTTTCCATTTTATTAAGAAATCAATCTTTGTGGAGCTCAGCTCCTTGGGAAATTGGGAATCACATGACAGAAATGGGTTCAGCGTGGTACCATTTCACTCTTTCCATGATGAGCAGTCCACTACACCTTGCTCACCCAATCATCTAATCAAGGTTTAAAATCAATACAATATATTTGATACAAGGCAAATTGTATTTGTAATTTTGTATCAAGGGGATTCATACAACACAGGTGGAATGGCTCGGTATTGCACCATTCCTTCCATATTGATTCACATCGATTTGTAACAATTGGTATAGACTGACAAAATGGTATAGATTGAAATAAACCATTTTTATTTTGAAATTCGGATTTAAATATCCATTGGTATGCCTTTAAATGTGCTAAACTGATAATTGTGGTCTTTTTAGATTCCAAATTTCAAATTAAGCCCATCAATTATCACCAATTAATGTCCATGGATTTTCCAATAAGGCTCAGTTTGGAAGGAGTACAAATGCAAATATGTAGAGTGCAAAATCTTGTATTTTGTATTACTTTGTATGTATTTGCACTGTACATATTTGTATTTGTACTCTTTCCAAACTAAACCTAATTAACATATAAGCTATAGGTGGCAATTTKGACTCCAACCCATCTGAACCACCCAATCCACCCATGCCCAACCACTTTAGTAAAGGGTCATTATGGGTTGAATGACCCATTTGGGTCAAGGAAAAAGGGTCAGGGTGGGGTTGGATTGAGGGTACCCATGGGTAGAAGTTAACACTAGGGGTGTCAATTGGACTGGATTTGGTACAATTCAGTCCCATCCAATGTGAGTCCATCATAAATGAACCAGGTCCAATCCAATCCAATGAATATTTTGGATCATTTTTGATCGATCCAATTCAATGTCTGGATTGTCCAATCTGTTCAAATTCGTTTTGATTTAGATTGGTTTGAACCCAAACCTGGTCCATTAACACCTATATTCTTATCTTATATCAATGGTCCAGATATTAGCTTAATCCAATCCAATCCAATATAAATTTATTACAGATGGGCCAGGTCTAATCCAATCTAATAAATCTTTTGAAACAAATTGGTCCAATCCAATTTCTTGTTGGTCCATCCAATCCGTCCAAATTCATTTTGGACTGGATGGGGTTCAATCCAAAACTGGTCCATTGACACCCTTAGTTAACACTAGTCATCTACGTAATTAGCTTTTAGGGTTCAATGGCTACAGCCACTGGTACCACCAATCTTGCTGCTGTAGATATCACTAATATTGTCATCGCCAGTTTGTGTCCCGATTTTGTTCTTCCTCTTCTCAATGCCTCCGTCGGTATTAGATATCAGTTTCAAATCTATTATTCTACCCCTCCTCCCCTCTTCTTATTATTCTTACCGTCGTCGCTGGTCATTGGTCAATACAGGTTACAGGAAAAAGAGGCGATTTTTTTTTGCAATTTTTATATTTTTTATTATATATTAAAATTGCATCATTTTCTATATTTTTTGGTATTAGTTGAAGTATATGATCGTTTTGTTTTTTTATATTTTAAATATTTTTTGTTGAAATATATAAATTTTAAAAATTTTATGATTTAGGTATTTTGATTTTTGTTTTATAATTTCTCAGTTGAAATATATATTTAATTTGAATTTTTATCAATTTATGTATTTTATKCTATTTCTACTTTTTTGAAATACATATTTTAAAATTTCCTTCTTTTCTGCAATTTTTATTGTTTTTGTGATTTTTTTTTGCAAATTATGTCAAATTTTGCATTTTTATTATTTCTTTGTATTTTTTATATTTTTTCTCTAATTTTTTATATTTATAGTTTTCTTTGGTATAAATCTTATATTTTCTTAATATTTGCATTGGGTTAATGGGTCATATGGGTGGGTTAGGGTCAAGGTAGGTTGTGACCCACTAATACCCAATAAATATGGATGACAATGGGTCAATGGGTCAATATGGGTGGGTCATGGGTTGGTACTCAACCCACACCCAACCCACCCATTTGCCACCCCTACATACAGCCATACAGGCATGTAGCATCAGCTAAGGTTCAAAATTTCATCACGTATCGGCCCGTATCGACCGATATGTATCGTTCTAGCAAGTTTTCGGCATGGTACATGGTACCAAATTGAATGTGCCATATCTATTCATCGTATCAAGGCCGTATCGTGCCCATATCGAACCTGTATTGTTGAGTATCAGTGCATTTCGATACTATATCGACCGATACGCTATCAATAAGGTAGCATATCAACTGATATAGTACAATTTTACTATGGTGGAAATGCAAATAAAACTCCGTTCGAAAGAGGGCTTCTAAACCCATTTTAGAAAGCCCTCTTTCTTTACCAAATCCTTTAAAAAGCTTTTTAACATTTTTAAAGACTGAAATCTTGTAAAAATTTGCCAAAGCATCTATAAATTTACAAGATTCAACAAGTTTTTCAAGGTTGTGAAAAAAATGAGTGAAACTAAATATGTTTTTTCAAATTTCTTTTACATTTTCAGCTAATGTTAGAAAAGATAAGGGGAAAGAAAGTGGTTTGCCCCCCTCTTAACAACTATTATGTGTTTTTATTTTTCTTAATATAAAAGTTTTTTATTAAAGATAAAGAAAAAAAATGAAATCCCCTCTTCCTCTTTCCTCCTCTTAAGGAAGCTTACGCCTCTTGCATTTTGAACTATGCTTCACACCTCTAAGTAGTGGAATGCCTCTGTGTTTTAAAACATTACAATTTTTTTTTTTTTAATTTTTAGAATAAAATATGCAAAATAATTATTTCATCTATTATGTCTATAAATCCATTCAATTTTTTGTTACATATTTACTTTTCTTAATTTTAATTTAATTTTTATAATAAAACATGCAAAATAATTATTTGAATAAAAATAAATAATTATTTAGTTTTTAGAAAATTAGAATAAAACACGCAAAATAATTACTTGATCTGTTATGTCCATAATTAGATAGTATGTTTCTATTCCCAACTTCCCGTTTATTGATTATAATGTTTTTTCATAAAACCCACTAAAATGTGTTATTTTTATACATAAATAGCTCATTTACGTCTTATATTTAGTGATATTGATGTTTATTTATGATTTATTAGAGTATTTATAACATTTTCATGTGTTTCCATGCGTATCTTAATTTTTCGTCCGATCCCAATAAGTCTCTTAAATTTGCCTTTCCGATACGCATAGCATTTCCGATACTTTGAACCTGGCATCAGCCTCAATAATCTTTGCAGTTCAAACCCTGTTAACAAGAAAAAAGTTTGGCATCTTAAAATCAATTAAGGTATTTGAGATTCATTCAGCAAATGTATTTAAGCAGGATATACTACTGTACACAAAATCTATAATCATGAAGCGAGATACATTTTCACATTCTTCTTCGGGGAGGTGGGGCTTAGGAGGTTATTGTGAGCATTTCATTTAATTACTATTGGGAACACCAATTAACATGACGATTTGATTGGAGACTTGTACTATTTAGATTTGGAAATATAGACAAAATTTGACGGATTAACATTCCAAAGTCTCAAACCTTGGTAGTCTGAATCATATTCAACTACTTTCTCATCTGTGTTATTAACTGAGCCGGTGGTGTTCCAGTTCCTGGCCCGCCGTTGGCAAAAGCAGAAAATCCACCAAATCCACTACCTGTGAAAGTAACCCTCAGATTAAATGGAGAATTTTGCCAGGACACCGAATTTACTACAAAGTGGCATCAAAGTTAAATTAGGCTCAGACATGTTGCAAGACGAGCAGAGTTAAACAACATTCTATACCAGATTCCCTAGAAAAAATAAGTAATGAGAATAAAATATTACCTGCTACAGGAGCTGCTGAGAACCCACCGCCAGATGAGGCCACAGCAGCAAAACCACCACCAGCAGAGGCCGCACCAGCAAACCCACCACCACCTGAAGCAGCAGCTCCAGCAAAGCCACCACCTGAAGCAGCAGCTCCAGCAAAGCCACCACCTATAGCTGCATTACTAGCTCCACCCGTAGGAGTGCTTAAAAATGAACCACTAGATCCAAATCCTCCAGGATTTGCAGTTGCAGAGAACCCGCCACCACCAAATGCACTGGGAGAAGCAAAACCTGTTCCTGGTAGACCAGAGCCAAATTGTCTTGACTGTCCAAAGCTACCAAGTACTGACCCCAGGGCCTGCTGCCCAGGTCCAATAGCTGCTGGCTGGCCAAACCCACCCCCAGTAGGTGCTGGAGAAGTGGGTCCAGTGCTGAAAGCACAACTATATGTAGACAGATTTGTTGGTTGAGATGGTTGGGAAGGCTGTACAGACTGGAAATCAAAGGATGCAGGGCGAAACAGCTCCCCAGTAGGAACTGTGAAAGTGAATGAAGAGCTTGCAGCATTTGCTGTTGCATTAGCAAATGGAGCACCAAAAGGATTGGCTTTTGGTGCAGCTGATGTGGGGGCTGATCCAATTCCAAATCCACCAAGGCTTCCCAAATTCAATTCTGTTGTGTCAGGAGCTTCTTCTTCCATATCATCCTCCTGTGACACATTGTCCATACTTTCACTTTTTCCATCAGTGGTACTGCTAAAAGATGAGAAAGGTGCTGCAACTGGAACATTTGCAATAGATGGCTGTTCAAATTTAGTGCTCGAAGCAACAATAGAGGCAGAACGGAATATGTTCTTAAAATTGGGCTGCACTCCAGACACCAATCCAGTAGAGACTTCAGTTGCAGGTTTTGGTTGCATAGGTGGTTCTAATTTTAAACTGCATTCACTTGCAGGGTGATCAGTATGCGGAAGGGAAGCTTGTGATGTGCCAAGTATCTCTGATTTTGACATAAGCTCACCAATAGGAGGCTTACTTTCTGGAGCAGATGGAAAAATCACCATTTTTGAGGCCTGTGAAGAGGAAGAAGATGAAGGAAGAGTAGGTGGAGCAGAAAACTGCAATGCAACCGTTTGGTTAACATCTTTACTGGGTTTAACATTGTTTAGTTCCCCAAATGATATGGTTGGTGATGAGGATGGGACGGTTGCTAGCTCAATGGGAGAAGATTGGGAAATTGATGAAAGAACAGCTGACGACAGTGATGGAACCAAGGGCTGCACAGAGGCTGAAGAAGAAACTGTTGAAGATGATATTGTATTACCTGATTGGATTTTGGTTGCGACAGTATCAGATTTGAAATTTTTCTCATGCAGAGATGTAGCAGATTCAGCAGCAGACATGGAGGCAAATGTTGAGCTATGGCTTCTTTCGAGTATTCCAACCGACTTTTCTGGATATCCTGCTCCTTGTTTTACACTTCCAGTTGGCTTTGTCAGAGGGCCTCTGTTCAACAACATATCACTCACTTGAGCCTTTACAGGTGTGGTTTTCTTTTGTGTTGCATGTGGCTGTTCAGCTAAGTTCGTACTGGTTGATAGTGTTTGATTTGTAAGATTTTCAGACTGCAAATTTGATTTCAAACTGGAGACAGGAACTGGTTGGACAGTGGATGGACCAGACTTCCCAATATGAGTCACTCCAATGATTGATCTCTCTGAGGCCACATCCTGAGTCTCACTTGTGTTGTTTCGAATTGCATTGTATAATGATTGAGATGCCATTGCTGATGAAGATGGTAGAGGATTGCTTTGTTGTGTTACTTGCATGGTAGGAGCTTTTAATCCCAAAGATTCTGAAGGCCCTGAATGGTCATTAGCCCATTTGAACAAAGAAGTTGGTTGATTTTCGAAGGCCTGTTTTGAAGGTCTATCTTGCATGTCTACAGAAAACATATACAAGGCATGTGGTCAGCAATTATACTAACTAGATATTCCTTATAAAAGATTAAGCTGAAGAGACTACCTTTGCTTCCTCCATATCTCTGTGGCTCATTTTTTTTAATGGTTGTCTGCAAGGAAGGTGAAGAAGCTCTATGGTCTTTCGAGAGAGTAGTGGAAGGTCCTTCCCACACACGAGCACTAAATATTTCTTTAGTTTTCACCAGGGGTGGTTTAATTCCAGTCACCCTTGGACGTTCATCTTGCAATACCATCCTTTTTATAGTTGTTTTTGGAGGTTCAAAGCTAGCCCAACTCTACATTCAAGTTAAATTGAGAACAATTAAGAAAATTTAATATAGTTGGCTGCAACTAATATAAGAAAACTAAACATTACAAAAAATCACTCTGTGCACTTGTAAAAAAAAATAAAAATATTTAAGAAACAGAAAACTTCTCTTTTTATGGTGTATGACCATATATCATACAAAAGAGGATAATCCAAAATGACAAATGAGATTAAATAAGCTGTTGCTTATCGAATTACAGTTCAGTGGTTGAATTGAAGAGGTGCTTTCAAAGCGTTATCTTGATGAGTTAATATATAGAAAAGAAACTGCGCAAAATGGGGATGAAACTTTGACATGATCAATGGCATGACTGAAAAGAAAAGAATTATAATCAAGACTTCAAGAGTACTCATGGGAATTAGGGGTATATAAAAAGAGCAAAATTACCTTACTGCCTTTCCAAGAAAAGTAATTTATGGTAAGGTGCAACATATGAACTAGAAAAAATTGCACAAGAAAAAAAAATTCACCTCAAAAAATTGTGCAACCACTTCTCAGATCTACTAAAATATCATATGGATCAAACACATCAAGACAAACTTGAAAATATAACCTCAACATATCATATAAGTCACAAAAGCCAGATCTAGTTTAGTTCAATTTTTCTTAGAAAAGTAGACAGAAAAATCAGTTTCATCTGCTATAATTTTTTTTTTTTGCATAAAAAACACCTAAAATTACACATCAAACAACATAAATTTCAATGAGAGGAGTTCCTACCATACATATAACCTACTTATATCATCTAACAACATACCGACAACAGAAGCTGTGCGAGGGGATGTCAACAGATGATGATGATAATTCCAATCCTTCTAAACCAGTGTTCTACCATGCTGTGGTCGATGATGTGTGATGAATTAGAAAAAGGAGTGCGAGATGAATTGAAACGAGAGAGAGAGAGAGAGAGAGAGGTCTGGTGAAAAACTATTATTGGACCAAAGCCCTTTCTGTTTCATTATATACTTGATTAGAAATTAAGGATCAAAATATCGATACAATGCACCCCATATCAGTATCCAAGGTCATAGATACACCAAAATACACAAGGTTTGCAGGTTTTCGAAGTTTGGGATGGTAGAAAGGCATACCTCTCACGGTGATAAAATAAAAATAAAACAAGAGTATCGGTCTATCAATATGCACCAAAACCCAATTTTTGGAATCAGTGCATATCGATATTTTGCTCCTTGTTAGGAATACATAAAAGACAACACTGCCCCCATTAGCAAACAAATGAGAAAGCAAGAATAACCATGTTCCATTCTTTGGTTCTCTACACCTCAGGACCTCATTTTGGTAGGATAATAATATACGGTAGTATATTAAAAGATACAGATGAGTGTAATCAATGGTTAATGGGTAAGGTAGGATGTGATGAGGATGGTGCAGAAGATGATTTGGTGTTTGATGATGATACACTAACATGGGGAGATGTTGCTCATGCTTCTAGAGTTGAAAATCCACTAAGGTACACAAGGTCTAGAGCTTCAACTTCACAAGCAAGAGCAGCAAATGAAGATGAAGTTGACATTGAAGACCAAGACGGCTTCAATTGGAAGATGAAGAAGAGGAAGAAGTTGACATTGAAGTTAAAGTTGAAAAAGAAATTAAAGAGGATTTTGATGACTACAAGTTAGATGACAATGAAGATGAAGTTGAGCATCCAAGTGAAGATGAAACCTAAGACTTTTTTTTATATAGAAAATTGTCTATGACTTTTGTTTTGTAGAAAATTGGCTATGACTCATTTTTTGGGTAGAAAACTGTTTCTGACTCTTCCTTTTTGTAAGAAAATTGTATATAATCTATGTTGTTTTTTGAAAGAAATTTGTCTCTCTGTCTCTTTTTTTTGAAAGAAAATTGCCTATGACATGACTCTAACTCTATGTGATTGTTCATTGTATTGCGCATTAATGGCTTATAGCTTGCTTTAAGTCTTGAACTTAATGTTGATTGATGAGTAATTGAGAACTTGATTATTTCAGATTTTTGTTGTTATTTGACATTAATAGGTTGTTTGTTAACCATTTAATTTAATTTGAAGTTTAGGAAAATATTTTTTAATTATACCCTTCCAATTTTTTCATTTTTTTTATTTTTTAAAAAACTGTGCACCTTGCCTCATTTTTAATTATACCCTTGCACCTTTTGCTTTTAAAACACTGGTCATAGGCCTTTTCCAAGTCCAATTTACACACAAATCCTTCCTATTTGGACCTTTTCATTCCCTCTACACATTCATTAGCTATTAAGATTTGATCAATTATTGGTCTTCCTTGCACAAATGCCTCCTTGAAACTAGTTGATGAGGGAGGGAGTATTACTTTGACCCTCAACAATAGGACTTTTGTAGTTACCTTGTAGACACTAATAACCAAACTAATGGGTCGGAAGCCCTTTGGATAGGTCCGCATCAACTCCAAAGCTAACAATGAGAGTTCCTTAAGGAATTCAAATAAATCAACTTTCAACACTTCCCAACAACACTGATAGAAAGCCATTATGAATCCACCTGGACCAAGTAAGGGCCACTCAAAATATCTTTCTAGGCAACTTGATGCCTCCACATCAAGTAAGGGCCACTCGGATGCTTCTAAACTCAATCTTTCTTCCAAAGGTCTTCTGTAAAAGGATTTAAAGTGATCCACAAAAATTCTAGCTATTACATCCTGATTTAAGATCTGCTCCCCATTGATCTCCAACCTAGCCACAAAGTTCTTACGCCTTCTTCCATTGGCCACCACATGGAAGAATTTTGCATTCCCACCCCCTTCCTTTATCCATTTGTGTCTTGACTTTTGTCTCCAAGATATTTTCTCTCTCTTGAGGACTTCCTTCAATTCTTTCTTTAATTTCCATCTCAATTCCCTCTCTTTTGCTTGAAGGTTTCTTCCACTTTCTACATTATCCAACTCTTCAATATGAGAAATAAGAGTCAACTTCCTTTATCCTAACCTTCCAAAATGATCCTTCTTCCACTCCTTTATTTTAGTTCTCAATCTTTGCAATTTCTTATGGAATTTGATTCCCAATCACCTTATCCCCCTTAGATCTTCCTTCCACCATTTCCACTCTTCGAATAAAATTTGGATGTGTCAACCACATGTTTTCAAATCTAAAAAGTGTAGGACCATGTAAGAAGCAATATGTTCCTAATCTAATGGGGTGGTGGTTTGAAATGACTAGCAATTCTCTAGAAACCAAGCCTTCCCAATAATTCTCCCATCCTATATTAAACAAAAGTCTATCTAGTTTTGAGCACAATGGGTTTTCCTGAAAATTGGACAAGATAAAATTTGTTTGCAATAGGGGGATCTCATTCAATTCACAAAAGCCTATGAATTCATTAAACTTCCTCATACTAGTGGTTATAAACTGATAGAGATTAGAAGTTTCATTGGAAAATCTTATCACATTGAAATCCCCTCCCAAACACCAAGCACCTTCCCACAGGCCCCATACTACATACAGTGCCTCCCATATATCACCGTTGTCTCTATAAATATTTGTCCATAGACATTAGCTAGCACCCAAGTGAATCCATCCTCCACATTCTTGAACTTAATAGATATGGTATATCTGCCAATCAGTTCCTCCAATGATTCCAACACCTCATCTGTCCATAATATCACTATGCCCCCAAATGTCGTCAAGGGATGGGGTCTCCACCCATCTAATCCCCCTCGATTTCCACAATCTTTTGATCAATCTTCTATCCAACTCTACTAGTTTGGTCTCCTCCAGCATAAACATATTAGGATCCTCTCTTTTTATTAAATTTTTTATCACACTCCTTTTCTTGCACTCCCTAGACCTCTTACATTCCAATTGATTATTTTCATTTTTTTTTACCTTTTAATCCTCTTTTACTCTTCCCTCCCTACTTGGGTTTTTTTCTCTCTATCTCCTCTCTCACTAAATTCAATGTCACCCTCTACATTAGATATTAACCTTTCTACCTCTGTCTTTTTCTTCTTCCTTCTTCCTCTTTTCCTTTTTCTCTTTTCTCTTTCTAACATACATCTTCACCCATTGGTTCACTTGTCTTTGTGTTTTCCTTTATAGTTGAGTCGACCTTATTTTGGAACCACTCCTGACTTATTTCTTCCTTTTTTAAGGTCATCAAAAAACTCATTGATCAAGCCCCAAATCCTTTCTACTTGCACTTCCACCCCCTTCCTATCTTCCTTCTATCAACCCTCCCTTCCATCCTCACTGTCCCACCTCCACTTTCCTGCCTCAAAATATCAGATTGGGTAGCTGTTGTACCTGCTTCAGGCAAAGCACACACATCAGTAGCCAAAACTGAATGGACACACTTAGAGATGCTACAGGAGGGTCGATAACAGTGTTGGATGGGAATCCAGGTTTGGAGTTCAAAACAGCAGAATTAGTCCCTAAGAACAACACACCCAATTTGGAGAAAAACACTAGAAAAGTCTTCTCCTTTGTAAGATATCGATTGTGCCAATACATCTAAGAGTCACTTCCCAACAGAAAACATGTACCTTTGGAGGAACATGCTTGCACCAGACCTCAAATGAGAAAAAGAATCAAGACAAACCTTTTCCAAGAGAGTCAACAAATCAATACATTTGAAAATTCGAAGTCTCGAATTCCCCTCATAAAACCCAATTCCAACTACGCACATTTGATATAGACTCATTCTGAAAAGAGAGAAATTAAACAAAGAAGGAAGTTGATCTTTGAAAGAAGACTACCCCCAAGATGTTCCTAGATCAGTCTTGCTTGGATAGCAAAATTTGGTCAGCCTCTCCTGGGTTTTTTACTAGCACTTCTTCAATCCTCTAACATGGCAAGATTCTTTCCAACGAAAGAGGTTTGGTGTAACCTTGTACCCCCAAAAATAAGGGCCTTTTACTAGGAGGTGGTGCTCCAGAAAATCACCCCCAAAAATAAGGCCAAACTGCACCTTCCACCCGAATCACCCCACATGTGTAGCCTTTGCTTGGCCTATGCTGAGACAATTACACACTTACTTATATCCTGTCCTTTTCATGTCCTTTGTTTGGAATTGGTTTTCTTCACTTTTTGGTTGCAGGTGGACCCCTCCTTCAGATGTAGTAAGACTCTTTGATCCAAACTTCTTTAGACCAATGTTTTAAAACGCGGAGGCGTGACGCGAGGCATTCCACTACCTAGAGGCGTGAGGTGTAGTTCAGAACGCAAGAGGCATAAGCCTCCCGAACACAAGCCTCCTTAAGAGGAGGGGGGTTAGGAGGAGGATGAAGAGGAAGGGGGGATCTCATTTTTTCTTTATTTTTAATAAAAATCTTTTATATTAAGAAGAACGAAGATGCATAGCAGTAGTTGAAAGGGGGGGTCTTGTCGACCAGCACTACTATGTATCTCATTAACACCATTCCGTCTTCAATTCTCAGTAATCAATCACCATGTTATTGTTTCTTTCATCACTCACCATTTGTTTTGTGCATCTCCCTCCCCATGAACACACTAAGCTTACTGCGCAATTGACTATGTATGCCTTCATGGGTTACAGTTTAGAACACAAGGGGCAAGGGCTTTCTCTGTTATGTTTGTTTTTTTTTTAATTCTGCCCTTCATTGAACAGATTGTTAAATCACCCACACCATCCTTCTCTATTTTGTAAAACTTGCCTCTACAAGTTCTGAGTCTCCAATACTACCTCTTCAAGTATAACTCAGGAAGTATCCAGCTACACCATCAACTATTCCTCCTCCATCATCAACTCCAATGCCTGCTCCTCTATCATCCTTAGACCTTATTCCATCCACATATTCTCCTTATGTAAGTGACCCTTCACCTCCTACTTCATCTCCTTTATTTTGTTCCTCTAGAGTTTCTCATCCTCTTGACTGCTATGGATTTCCTACAATCCATAGCTCCCTTTCTGCTATTTGTCTTCCACAGATATCCTAAAGTCTTATCAGTAAGCTATAGCAGTTGAGCATTGGAAAGATGCCATGAACTCTAAAATCCAAGCTCTACTGGAAAACGATACCTGAGAACTTGTCCCCCCTCCACCAAATGCCTCCATTATTGGAAGTCATTGGGTGTACTCTGTTAAGCTGAATTTAGATAGCAATTTGGATAGATATAAAGACCACCTTGTTGTTCAGGTGTACAAGCAAGAACATGGTATTGCCTATGCAGAGACGTTTGCACCGGTTGCCAAGATGGAAAAGAAGAAGGAAAAGGAAATTAAAAAAAATATATAGGGGCTGAACCCTTAGTAGAAGAAGGAAACTGCTTGGTGATTAGGCAAGGTGAGCCTCAAAGGGCACCTTGACAACTATCTACTCCTCAAAGAGCACTCCTCACAGCCACATCCCACTGTGTATTGGGAACATCTCCCCATGAATAATAAATACAAATATAGGAGATGTTCCGATGTGAGGCCAAGACATGTTGTGAGGTCGGTGTGAGGAGAAGATCCAGAGTAAAAAATACAAATTTCTAGAAAATTACATTTTTGACATTTTGGCTCCTACATTACTAGGCATCTAAAGTACTATTTCAGAATACCAAAAAAACATGTTGCAATCGCAACAAAACAAAACATATAAGTAAAGAATTTTCTCATTGCCAAATGTGCCACCTCATTGTGGTGCTGACTTAACACCCCCCACTGTAGAAAAAACAATTTGACAATTTTACAGTTGGCCTTATTCACAAAAATCTGCATTGGCATTTTTTTTCTGTTGTTTCTACATAAATGGGCATAACCAAATTGCTGACATGATAATTGTTGATGCAGAATATCTAGATAACCACTATGGTACCAAATAACCTCCTTGTTTCAGGGATATGACAGAAGATAACAACAAGAAAAAAAAGGGGCATATATCCAATAGATAACAAAAACAGATATCAAAAGAAATATTACCCGATCCAATGAATCTCTTCTCCTCCTTGCAGTTTCTGGTTCCTGATTCTTCATAGCGCTTGCAGGGTTTCTGGACTGATCCTTAGTAGCAGTACTCTGTGAAGAAAATGCAAGTCGCTTGACTGGATTTGGTGTATGGCCACTACCCTTTACATCTGGAGAGTTGAAACAATCACCATTATAAGATAACCCAATTGATTCAAACAGCTCTTTGGCCACATTCTTTCTTTTCACAGAAGGTGACTCTATATTCAACAAAGCCATCTGTTTTGAGAGGCACTCAGAAAGTTGCTCAGCTGCTGCTAATTGGGAGTTCATTGTGTTATATAAACTATGCAAGGGCTGAGTGTGTCTGCACATATAAATATGACAAGTAGTCAAATAAATGTAAGATGCTGTAGGTCATAAAATTAAATCAGAACAGTCTAACCAAATTGAGGTTGCAGATGAAGTAGATATGAAGTTATGTTGAGGTTGCAGAACAGTCTTGTAAATCATCAAGTGTTAAAAACTTATGTTGAGGTTACAGATGAAGTAGATATAAAGTTTTAAATCTGAAGTACCGTTAGTAGTTGTTAGTAGTGATAATTTTATCCAAGCAGTATTTTTTCAATCAAAAGGGGCCATTGCTTGGAACAAGTGTGCAAATGCAGGTTCAATTCTGAGAGTAACCACTTTGTGCTAAAAACTGACAAGTTGGGTCTACAGTCCACCCCTTCCCCAAGACCCCAGATAGCTGACACCAATATTAGGTAATGGCCTTTTGTACTTTTTCAAGCAATATGAAGTTTTTTTCAGAGAACATAGAAATGCTTCATATAAATAATGGAACAAGCTTCTGTTAAAATGCTTCATGGCTTAATAGGTTTTAGATGGGAGAAATGCTTCATTGCTTTGTTACTTCAAAAATCTCCATCCAAGAACCAACCCCTAGGATGATGCAAAGTTGGTTTCTGGACAATACTTTCTTGCAACCCTACAAAATATAAGACAGAAATTCTAACAATCAAGGGTAAAACAAAATTACCCAATGAGTGATTGCCTTTTCTCCTAACCCAAATGACATAAAAACAACCCTCTAACATATGGAAAAGTAGAGGTTACCTCCAAGGTCTCATACCTTACTATGAGAACTAAGAACTGCTAAGCTAGCCTATTATGTATTGTGTGTTTTCACATGGTCTACAATCATACCAAGACAAGTTAGAAATATTAACAACCTGTCAAGTGATTGGTTCAAGTAACCCAATATGTATTTTTACAAAGACAACTCTTGTATTTTACAAGCATTTTATTAAAGAATAGCCCATGTAAATGGCAGAATCAACACCTTCAACGATAAATTAGAACACTAGCACAGGAATTAAGAGCTCAATTTCAAAAGACAAGAAGGTTGGCACATTCTTTAGCCAAACAAGGGGTGAACAGGTTTGAAATGATTGGGGATGCTTACAGAAAACCTGGTTTATAGCATTTGCATTATTGCATATAATAATTACTCAAGGACGTACATGGCTTAGGTAGCTGAAGCTGCCGAGGGTGGTGCTTGGATATGCTAGTATTGTACTTTGGGTCAAGAAACTGCTTTGAAGTTTGGTAATGCATGGTTTCCAAAGCAAAAATACTTTGGTAATAAAAAGCATGAAGCAAGATAGGATGCTTTGTGCTTTGACTACACAGCTCAGGGCATTCTTGCTTTTTTGCAAAACCACGGGAGGCACAAGCATGTGATGCCTTCCCATGTGCCATATATATACAGTCACTACAAAGACATGGCACTTTTATGCCACATATTTAGAGTTGCCACATGGCAAAAAAAATGTGCCATGTGGTGTTAATTTGTTCAATATATCATAACCATGTTCATTTTTAACATTTTGTGAACCATGTGGAATAGTTAATGCCATCTAGCTGCTTAAAAAGGGTAGGCTCTTTGAAGACATGTGCATTTGCCACATGGCAAGACGAGCAGGGAACAGATTATACTCTGACACATAAAATTTTTTGTCAGATGTGGCAAAGCAATACATTGCAACCAAATGCCTATTTATGCTTCTACTTTGAAAAGCTTGTTCTGAAGGCAATATTTACCAAACTACAAAAGCACACAGCAAAGGCATGAAGCATGCTTCCGTAGTTGTCAAGGCGACGCCTAGGCGACTTTTAGAGGTCGCCTCGCCTAACGCCAACATGTTTTCATATTATCCATACATATTTGTTTCATTTTTTTCAACTCCCATGTATATTTATATCATTTTATTGGTTGGTTTTATTTTATTAACATACACCCTGTTGTATGTTACACTTTTTATTAAGATAATTATTCTTTAATTAGAACTATGTGTATGTTACAAGTTTTTTGGGTTTAGAGTTCTGAACCGAGACTGAGAAGAGAAGACAGAAAAACTGACGATTGAGAAGAGAAGACAAGGAAGACCGACAACTGAGAAGAGTTTCCATTCTTTCAGTCCAAGTCGTCCAGGACCTCCAGGTAAGTTCTTTAGTTGTCCTGTACTCCTGTATTTTTCTTTCTTACATTTGTTTAAGGAATATTGTTGGAAAAAAACAGAGGCTCTGCCCCCTTCTTTGTGCGCCTCAACGTTCTAAATTTTTTCCTGTATTTTTGCACTATTTATTTATTTTGGTACGAAACAGGGGCTCCATCCCCTTTTTTTTCACTGCATTCAACCTTTTTATTGGCCTGAAACAGGGTCTCTGCCCCTTAAACACAGTCCTCTTATACATGCATTTTTATTTTCTTATTTTTTTAAGAATTTTTTTGGGAACGAAACATAGCCCCTTATTTTTCTCTTTTTGTCGCTGCATTTCTTGTTATTAAACATTGAAATTAATATATTATGTAAATGATGTATTTATGATGGCATGTTTATGTTTTTATATGAAATTTATAGTTAGTCACTCATTTGAATGGGTTTATTGCTAATAGGTAGTATATAGGTATATTGGTTAGAGAAGAAAAACAGCCTTTTGAAATGAAAGGATTGTTTAAAAAGTTGCAGAGAATCAATAGAAAGTAGTAGAAATCAGGTTTCAAGAAGAGAGAAGAGGAAGAAGGAGGCGGCGGCAACTAGGGTTCAGAGAGAGATTTTCGAACATAATCTCCTCTCTTTGTTAGACAGTTTTGTATGCCCTTAGCTTCAATCAGAATGATGTACTTTATGAGTTTATTGTAAATGAATAAAGATACATATTTGATTC